TAAACACATACCTCCCTTTATCTTCCACTGAACTAAACAATGAAATCTGAACAGAATGTATCAACAGCTATTTGAAGACTCTGAAAAAGTGTCACAGGTGGTTCCAGAATTCAAAGTATCACAGATTTGCTGTGAGTGTACCATTTTTTCCTTCAGTATCCCCCCTTGTCTGAACTCAGCACAACCCAAAACCCAGAAGTGAGCATTATGGTACAGAAGAGAGAGATACAGAAGAAACCCTCTAGTTCTGGATCTAAAAAAGGGAACTCCTAAAGCTCAGGGAAACTGGGGGAAATGCCTGGAGTATTTCTCTCCAAACTCTCATGTCCCAGCCCTCAGGTCTCCCCCTGCCTGTGGTGGGCATGGCAGCAACAGCACCACCAAGAGGGACTGGAAATGGAAAGCCTCCAGGGGTGAAAAATCTTCCTCTCCATTCAACGGAGCCCTTCCTGCAAGTGGGTGGATCAAACTTCATTGTTTTTTTCCTTCCTCTTCTGTCTTCAGGAAAGTCACTCCATAAAATTGTTTATGAACTCCTGAGTTCATACTCAGTCTGTGTAGGTATGAATCTGATGCTAAGTAATATAATAAAAACTTTGAAAACTGCGATAATGGGTAAACTTACACCCAGATTCCAAACTGACCACTGAGTGAACACATGTGGGACAGATCTGAACAGCACAGATAAAGCTCTAAAAACTGAATTAACACTGGAACCACAATCCACTGAAAGCTAAAACAAAAATAACAACACTTGCTATGGAATGTAAAGAAAACCTGGCATCTCATGACACAATACTCAAAATATCCAGGGTACAAACCAAAATTACTCACATGAGAAAAGACAACATGAGCAAAACAGCAGAACATGGAGTCAATATTCAGAAATTGATGGCATTTTTGTACACCAACAATGAAATATCAGAAAGAGAAACTAGAGGAAAAATCCTATTTACTAGCAATAAGAAAAATAAAGTACCAAGGAATAAATTTAACCCAAGGAGGTAAAAGACCTGTACTCAAAAAACTACAGAACACTGAAGAAAGAAATTAAAGAAGATACACAAAAATAAAAGCATATACCATGTTCATGGATTAGAAGAATTAACATCATTAAAATGTCTATACTACCTGATGCAGCTTATAGATTCAACACAATTCCTATTAAAGTACCAATGGCATGTATCACAGATCTAGAAGAAATATTCCAAAAACGTATATGGAACAAAAGAAGCCCCAAATAGCCTCAGCAATCTTGAGAAAGAAGAACAAAATTGTAGAGATCACAATACCGATTTCAAACTATACTATAAGGCAGCTGTAATCACAATAGTTTGGTACTGGTCTAAGAACACACACATAGATTGGTGGAACAGAACAGAGAACCCAGAAATAAACCCAAGTATCTATGGTCAATAAATACTGACAAAGGGGCATGAGCACACAATGAAGTAAAGATAGTGTTTTCCGTAAATGGTGTTGGGAGAACTGGACTGGTACATAAAAAAATGAAACTAGACCACCAACTTATACCATACACCAGAATAAAGTAAAAATGGATAAAAGACTTAAATGTAAGTTGTAACACTGTAAAAGTCCTTAGAGGAAAATATAGAGAAATTTCAGATATCCCATGCAGCAATATTTTTGCCAATATATCTCCTAGGACAAGGTATATAAAGGAAAAAATAAACAACTGGGACCACATCAAACTAAAAAGCTTCTGCACAGCTAAAGAAACCATCATCAAAATGAAAAGGCAACCGACTGTATGGGAGAACATACTTTCTGATGAAACATCAAATAAGGGTTTGATCTCCAAAATATGTAACGAATAAAATAAAGGTAAACAACCATCAAAACACCAAAAACACCCAATAGAAATTGCAAAGGTAGTGGTATTTAGTCTATGTCCAAGGAGGACACACAGAGGGTCCAAAGACATATGAAAGGATACTCAACATGCATGTATATGTACATGTACATATAGATAATTTCTGCCTTTGAACAATTATTCAAAATTATTTTTGCATTAAAAGAAATTTTAAGCCTCACATGAGGACATTTTTAAAAAGACTGATTGACTGATTGATTTTCAGAGGGAGGGGAAGAGAGGGAAAGAAACATGGATGTGTGAGAGAGAAATATCCATCAGTTGCCTCTTGTACGCCCCCAATTGGGACCTGGCATACAACCCAGCCATGTGCCCTGACTGGGAATTGGACTGGTGACCTTTGGGTTCGCAGGCCTGTGCTCAATCCACTGAACCACACCAGCCAGGGCTGGGCATTTTTTTCAATGCTCTTTTTAGAGAAAGGGAGAGAAACATTAATGCCAGAGAGAAGCATCGATCAGCTGCTTTATGACTGAAGCTAAAACAAACAACTATCAAAACACCAAAAACACCCATGTACATGCCTCCTGTACATGCCCTGACCAGGGATTGTAGGTGCCTGGACCACAGATCACACTCGAACACACCCACACCCAGACCGGGGTGGGAGTAGGGGGTCATGTCAAACCCACAACCCATCAGTTACTGGCTACTGGAAGTTGCTCGAACCAACTGAGCCACACAGGCAATGGCTCTTTTATTTACAGAGTCTCTTATCTTTACAAGAGAACCTTATTAATGTCCTTCCAGGGATTGAATAAAGTGCCATAGACTAAACACCACTACATTTGCAATTTCTATTGGGTGTTTTTGGTGTTTTGATGGTTGTTTGTTTTAGCTTCAGTCATAAAGCAGTAATCTCACTAACTTAAGGAATTTTTATCCCCTCAAATATAGGCTTTATACAATGGAGGCAAGATAAAACAGTGAACAAATGTGGAAAAGACGCAATTTACCTACTCAGACTTCTTAAAGGCAAAAGTGGGCTCAAAAAAGTCTTAAAACAAAAAAGGCAAGTTGATCACTTAAAGGTTTTATGTATATTTGTACATATGTGCATATGTTTTATTGTTACTTAAGAAAGAATATTCTACACTACCTATAGTCATTACTCCCAATCCATATCTACTGGAGAACATCTCATTTTGTGTTCAAATGCCAGAAAGAAAAAAAATTCACAGCTCTCCCAATTATTGCACCTTCTTAACTAAAATATACTGTTTCACAAACTCAGTCAATTCTGATTATTTCACAGCTGAGAGGAAACTTCTGAGGTTACCTCTATCATCACTATACACGGGTTCAATCATTTTCCACTGCAAAATATCTACCTACTCATGAGTAGTGGGAAAGAGTCCTGAACCAACTCTGCTTCATCAGGCTCCTATGATGTAAATCACCCAGGAACTGGAGAGTATCTAGACAGCCAGAAAGTATTCTGTGTGTAACAGATAATGAGATGCTCCCTAGAGCTTATTTCACAGCTATAGTGAATGGACTAACACCTCCATGATATGCTTACAGATTTACTTAACAACATTATCCCGTTTTATCCAGAAACTAAGTATCAGCTATATTCAAGCCTGCCACAGGCAACTTCTATCACTGGTGAGTGCGATCAATAAGACAATGGAATACTGGCACCAGTTTCTCAAATCATCATATGTACTGGAAAGCAGTTTCTCAAATAATTCTCATTATTAAAATTATTAAAACAAAGATAAAAAAACAAATAGATTTTAAACTAAACTAACTAGCATGTTCTCAAAAACAAAAGGCCCAAACTACAAATACTTTTGCATCTCGTTTATAAGTTTTTGTCTCTACTTTTGATTATAATAGTATGCTTTTTATTGATACAAAGGAAAGTTCAAAATTTATTTCATTTCATCCTGTTTAGGAATTTTATTTTCAATATCATACTCCATTAGATAAGAGCACATAAAATTCTTATTAAACTCATACGCCATAATTTCTGACAAATATTACTCTTTTTCATATACTACATACATTATTTATATTCTTTATCTTAAAAGCAATACCAACTGTAGCATATTACATTTTCCAAAGATAGCTACAATGGCAGATTCTGTCCCATAGCTCTTTTTTTTAAAGATTTTATTTATGTATTTTTAGACAGAGGGGAAAGGAGGGAAAAAGAGGAGAGAAACATCGATGTGTGGTTGCTGCTTGCATGCCCCCTACTGGGGACCTTGCCTGCAACCCAGGCATGTGCCCTGACTGGGAACTGAACTGTGACCCTTTGGTTCACAGGCCAGCATTCAATCCACTGAGCCACACCAGCCAGGGCCCATAATTCTTATAATGTGATGTTGATACTCTTTCTCTTCAAGTGGTGGGGTCCATGTCCTTCCCCTCCTCTGAACCTGGGTGGACCTTTATAACTACCTCAACCAATAGAAGAGAGCAGAGTAACACTATGTGAATTCCAAAGCTAAGTCAAATATGCCATGAAACTTCGCCTTGCTCTCTTCTCTTGGAACCCAGCCACCAAGCTGTGAGGAAACCAAGCAGCCAAAAGGAGAGGTCATGTGTAGGTGTTTGGCAGGCAGCCCAGGCTGAAGTCCTTGCCAACAGCCAACATCAACCACCAGACACATGAGAGAGCAAGCCTTCAAATGATTTCAGCTCCCAGCCCCGGAGCCACCCCTACCCTTCCAGCTACCCCACCAAACACCACATGATGACAGAGACAAGCTGTCCCCACCAAGTGAGCCTTGCCCAAATTGCAGATACTTGAGCAAAACAATAACTGGCAGGTTTTCAACCACTAAGTTTGGAGTGGTTTGTTATATAACAATAGATAACTAACATGTACTCATGAATACACTTTGGAAAATGTACAAAAGAGAAAGAAAAAATTAATTACCCTAATTTCACCGCTGTTAACATTTTGACACACATTTTACAATCAAGAAAATGTTTTGCCCTACCCACCTAACATTCCAACTGGTTTGTTTTTACCAGCATAAAGAGTTAAATCAGATGTACTATTAGCACTGTTCAACTGTTTGCATCTAACAGGAAAGAGAAAGGAAAAACATCAGCATCTGTTCTACTTTTCTTATCTTACTCTTTCACTTACCTGTCCTAAGTGAGCTGTCTTGAGAATGGCTGGCTCTCCAATATTCCAATCTGTGGATGTGGGTCAAAATCTCTGATTGCAAGAACAGCTGCACGGGCCCTCTTCCTGAAAGAAGGTGCTTAAGGCCCAAATCTGAAATTTTCAAGGAAAAAAAATGCTAAATATAGACATCTCCTTTCAATCACTTATAGTAACATCTCTACAACTAAATAGAGGCTGATAGAGTGGATTAAGATTACATGGAAGTGAATGAACAGGCTTCACTAAAAATGGATTTGGGTAATGTGAATTCAACTTTCAGCTCTACTTCTTACTCACTATATGATCTTAGGTGAAGCACAAATTCTCTGTGCCTAAGTCTCATCATGTGATGAAGGCTGAGGGAACCTGATCAACATTTTGGGCTGGGACTCAGAAGACCTCCTTCTAAACTCAGTTGCCATTCTGCCTTGCTATAAGAACTTTGATACTTCTCTGGGCTCAGAAACATCATCTCTTAAAAAGAGGGTTGCATTAGATAATGGTTTCTGAAATCTAATCCTTGAACAGGTGCCAGCCATGACAAAACATGGTGTAAAGTTACAACTGGGCTTATTATGAGATTGTCCTTCCTACATTTTCGGTGTTAAAATGAGATAATGCGATAGACAGTAGCTGTTTTTTAAAAACCCTAGAGTCTAAATCAAAAAGCTTGTAGCCCTATGCAAACATTCTAAAATTCTTTTTAGAAATTCTAGTGCCTATATAATTTATATGAATTCTAAAAGTCCTTCCACATCTAACATTCTGTGTTTTCATTCACTAACCAGAATATATATAGAAAAAGCTGGTATGGTCCCAAGGAAAAGTGAGTTACAACTACTTCCAGCTAATAATGTTTAAAAAACAAAACCCCACTGAATAAGGAAAGCTGAATTTCATCTCCAGTAAATGGTACTGTAAAACAATTTCTGTTATAATTTGCAAAATATATTATTAGCTACCAAGATGTTTCACTTCATTTCTTCATTGGCCTCATTCTAAAACAGACTGTAAAGCTTTTGATGTTTAACTTTCAGTTTTAACAAGTGTGTTAAAAGCCAACTAAATACATACCAAAAAACCATAAAGAAATCAGGTACAGCAAATGCTGTTCGAATATGCCAGAAACTGCACTGGGTATTTTACCAGTGGAAACACTTGACATGTGTTTGATCATAAGTTAATATAATTAAAGCAATATTAAGGTTCTGCCCGTGATTACATTTCACATATTTCTGACTCCATTACAGCACAATAAACTAAAAACCTCCCTACTATTATAACTATTTTCAAGGAAACCAATATACCAATGATTCTAAAATATGGAACCATAATAAATTATGAGTATTAACAGTAATTTTCTAATATCCTTGGATCAGCGCAGGCTACACACTATATTAAAGAGGAAATATGAGTATAGAGTATTACTGAAATAGTACCAGAAAGAACAAATCTAAATTTCTAAAAACACAAGTAGAAACACTAGCATTGGAATTCAAAGTACTAAATAAAAGGCTGCTGGATGAAAAATTTGGCCTGCCAAATAATTCCCTAGGGGTAAATGTTCAACACCCACTGGGCATTTTACACCAACTCCAAGATGAACAGTCTTCTGCTAATACTTATGAACATAAATGAATTCCCAAACTGTTTATGCTCCAAGTAGCAAGTAGCTACCACTAGAGGAACAGATCAGAGAAAGACAACTTACGTACATTAAGCTTTATTCAGACCTAGAAAACAAAGAAATTTGACATACTTTCCACAGAAAATATGCCTATGAAAAGTGTATTATTTATTTTTAAAAAAACAGTATATATTTGTAATTTTTTAAACTGGAATCGTTATGTTAGAATAAGTACAAAGAGAGGAGGAAATTTCGATTACATATGAAGTCCCCCTAGTCAGCATTTAACTCTTTTAAATTCTGTTTATCTAACTATTTACTTTCATCATACCTGATGATTTTCATGTTTTTCACTTCCTAACATATTTTCAAAGGCGTCAGACCCATCTGCCATCCAAGCTCAATTGTGGATGTCAGTCAAAAAATAGGTGTTTATACCCCCTCTTAATACATGAATGAACATGAACAGCTCTTATCATTTCATTTCACCGAGACCAAGTGGGAAGTGCTGCTCACAACTCCGAGCCTGGGCTGCGGCGTGGCTCCCAACCACTCTTCTCAAAATGACAGCACGCTATTCTTTTCTCTTAACTACATACTCATTCCTAGCCACTGAAAGTGTGGTTCACAGACTGGTAGCATAGGCATTACCTGGAAGCTTGTAAGAAATACAGAATCTCAGGCCTTACCTTAGACCTGCTGAATGAGAATTTGCAGTTTAACAAGATCCTCAGGTGATTTGTACACATGCAACATTTTGAGAGGCACAGTCCTACCTAGTTCACTTATTCAGCAGCTCCTCTTTTCCTGTTTGGCGTTTAAGGGATTGGATCCTTTTTCATTTGAGCACATTAAGACCCACCAAAATGTAATAAGTAATCTTTAAATAAGATTACACAGTTTCTCCACAACCTCCTTTTCACAAAACACCAAGCTCCATGAAGCCAGGCCCTTCACTGTATCCTCAAGACCAAAACAGTGTCAGGCACACATCTGTAGAGGCAACAAACAGATACCAGAGGACCCCTGAAGTCCCCAACTCCTAAAGCTTTGGCTCCTGCATTTGCTGTGTAAGCAAGATTGTATCTAAAGAAAGGGGAACTAAAATGTGAGGTCATCCAAATTTACAAAACAAAAAATATGCTATTTTAAGTGACTTGATCAATGTCATGAGGCAGACTCACTATTCAGTTCATAGGTTCAACAACACTTTTATAATATCATTATTAATATTATATTTTAGGTCAAATGACAATAAAACTTCCTCTACATATATACTATCATCCAAGTAGCTAGCAAACTCAACTACCCAGAAGAACTGTGCACTCAAGAGTTTAAGGCAGCCTAAAATATACAAAAAGCTGGAAAGAATATATACTTAAAAGTTAAAATTACATGGTATGATTAATTTCTCTAAAACCAGAAGAAATAAATGTTTTTAATCCTTTATCTAACTCAAGTTGAAATAGAAGAAAGGAACAGAAAAGAATAAAAGTATGGAAAAGACAAAAAATAGGGGCCAGATATAACAACAGGGCTGACAAAAGAACAGAGATCAAAGGTAATCAAAGGTTTTAAAGAATATGATTTAGGGACTAGAAAAAGGAAAAGCAGCTATAAAGGCAAAGAGCAGAATACAAATTAAAGTAGCATCCACTTGAACAGTGGAAATGACATATAATACAAGAAATTTTTAGAGCAAGTAGGTCCTAGACTATCTCATGGGGTTAGTTATCATTTCTCTCATCTACCATATCCTACCTATCTGAAATAAAAAGGAACAAAGAAATATACCCCTAACCTTTAGAGATCAATAAAAAGCAAATTAGGTTCAATATGTATTTTATTTTCTATGGTAAGTATTGGTCCATCTTTAGGAGAAAAGATAATTGTGGTATAGTCATACAAGTAATACATATACCTGGGAAAATGAGCCACAGTTACATACTGCTATGAATTAAAATTTTAAAAGATAATGTTGATTAACCAAAGCAAATAAGAATATACCCATAATTCCATTTTTATAGTTAAAACATAAGCAACACTAAACAACATACTTTTGAAATTCATAAAATTTGTGGTCAACTTAAAAGAAAAGGAAGGGAATGATAAATAAAAACCAAAATAAAATTCTGAATAGTCTTATCCCTGGTGGAGAGACAGGCGAATGGAAATCAAGGAGAAATATATAGCAATGTCCAACTGCTTAAGCTGGGTGGTGGGTTCACGGGTACTGGTTTTATCATATGCTTCATCAGTTATATATACAGTGCCACATGCTTGTCTACGTATCAATGCTTTCTAGAAGAAAGGGAAAACAGGAGGAAGGGAGATGGGAAGGAGAGAGAAGGAAAAGACAGAGAAAAAGAAAAGGACTGACACTTATAATGTAGGTCAACATGGATCTTCTATCATTCCCTGGAAAGGTAACGTAGATTTCTGTTAAATATAAACTCCAGCTTGAAACACAACTATAACAAAAGTTGATTCTTTTTAAGAGCATAAACCTAAAAGGAAATGAAAGTAGGTCACTTTCCTTTCTTCAGTTTTAAAAATTAAGATAACGTCAAATGTAAAAAGAAAAAATTTTCAATAAAACCATATATTTTAATATATAAATGCTCAAGTATAACCATCCTAGAATTCACATTACTAAGGAAACAAGACACTTTCATTGATACATAAAAATCCCAAATGTGACAGCTACAAATGTAGACTCACAAGGTAAGTTGTACTGGAAAATCAGATACCATGAGGGGCAATGCAATGCTAACATGATTTTCTGAAAGTTAACAACTCTTATTAAATTTCTGAACAAAACAAAGTACAATTTGCACTCAGTTTACTCAGCAGTTGCATTTCTGGAAAATTCAGTATCTATTAAAAACATACAAAAATACTTTGTGTTTAAATGTGAAACAGAATTAGGTCAGATAAGTACAAACAGGTTTTTCAACTATAAGAAGATCTGTGGAAGAGTTCAAAAATCATGCAGAACTCTCTCATACCTTGTGGTATGTATGGTATTCCTGGCTCCTGCTCACTGAATGCCAGTGCTGCAGCTACCCCACCCAAATCATTGTAGCAACCAAAAGTGCACCCTCAAAAATCCAAATACCTAATAGGGGAGTAACAGGAGAGGTACTGACCCTTAAGAACCAGTGGCTTCAAGAACGGCTAGATCCCGGTAGAGCCTCCTTTTCGTGATGCCATGAAGCTGAATGTAATGATCAAATCTAATCAATTTCTAACTTTGGCAAAGGAGGAATTCCCATACAGAAAAGACATTTACTGTTAGGGAAAATATAAAGGCACATTAAAACCAAAGGATAATAACCCTAAATAAAATTGACACATCAAACCAAAGGTTGGGAGTCTTCTAACCCATGTAATGGCAATCTTTGAGGACAGTGCTGTTTTGCTAAAATACAACGAATGTCCCAATTTAAAAACACTAACACCCAAAAAGTATGCTATAGTTTAC